ATGAGACTGTCAATTTCACGAGGAAGACTGGACTTGGTAAAGGTTCACCTCGGATGTGTGAGTGGTGTCATATTAAAATGGACCCATCATTAGCCTGGGTATTAAGAGGCTTGCCTTTTAATTTCACTTCTATCACTAACCCATCTACTGACAGCAGGCAGCCAACAGTTGACTGATCTGTAAAATTAGACGTGGCCCTTTCTAGACTTAATTTTTTCTAGTAAGGGCAATTTTTTCTGTTCAAACAAAAGTTTACAGCTGAATCTAATGTGTAAAATATCTAAGGACACAGTGATTACACTGGAAACAGTGAGTGGGAGGCCAAGGTTGCATCAGTAATCCTAGGTCCTCCATTTCCCTGAGCATTAGAAGAGGTGGTCACATGAACATCCTGAAAGCAATCTACATGAGATTTCTCGAGTTCTGCTTTTTATGATTGAACACAAGGAAATCCATCTTGCTCAAAGGACTCCACTAGAAGCAACCAGACATTTAAAAAAAGTGATTAGTATCTAAAGACTGGAAAAACTATACTGAGTTATTTTAATGTAACCCCTGATGTTACAACAGCATTCCCAGGACAGTTTAGACCTTCACCTTAAACTCAAAATAAACTTGAAAGCCCCACTTCCTTCTCTCCTCTTTGGTGCTCTCTGTGCTTTTGAGCACATAGTGGTGTCTAGGTTTGTCTAAAACTGATATTTAATCATCCATCACTCATTTATGTAAGATAGTTAAATGTTTTCACCCTCATTCTCCTGTTCACTTGTTGAGATGGAGACTACGGCTTGGAGAAGGAAGCCCTGTTCTTTGACAGGGCTAGAGAATTAATCAGTTTAAAAGCCATCATGAAGCATATCCCAACTGTCAAGATTTTGAAAAAAACTGGAAATATGCAACAGTTAAGGACTTATTTCTGTATTCATCCACCAAATAAATCATAGTAGTTATTTTTATAAAGATAGGGATAAATTAGAAAATTAGAGATGAGCCAATAATAAAATGTGAATGAGAATCTCAAATAAGAAGGAAATATTATATTGTTTTAAAAATCCATAATATGTGAAGCTAAGATGAATTTACTCCTAGATATTTACTCCTAGTATTTGCTCCTAAATATAGACATTTATTTTCCTCCCACTCTATTTCCTTAAAAGGAAGTAAAATCAGCCACGTGCCAACTGTTCCTATTCATTAATGACAGCCATTTCATATATTTATTTCTAACTTTTTTGTCTCTAAATTACATTTTTTCATTTTTCTCTTTGTTCTGCTCCTTTGATTTAAACTGGATAACTCCAAGAATATTTTGGTTTTTTCACTCAAAAATTCCTTTACAATATTCTAAACGTAAAGTAGAAAAAAAAAAAACTTTCAAAATGTACCCATAAAGGTCATTTTCACTTGTAGTTGGATAAGAGTCATAATTAAGAATCCACTATTCGCCATCCACGGACTGGGGGTAGAGAGAACAAAGGACACATCAGTGAGCAAACCTAGTCTGGGAACCAGCGCATTAAGGGAACTCTTGCTGAATTGGAATACCCAGACCCCAGCCACTTCCAGGGCAGGGCCCGCAAACAAGTACCACCCCACGCCCTGCCCCATAAGTGACTGGCTGATCCTGAGAGACACAGGCTGTGATGATAGCTATGGAGGTGAAATGCAATTGGACGCCTGTGATGCATTGGTGTTTCACTGACATCGCAGTTGGTCTGATCATGTGTTCAGAGGATAGTGGTGCTCAGTGTGACATCCAGGGGCGATCTCTCCTAAAGGTTGCAGCCATTATTGACTCCCTAAGGTCTTTTTTTGGGAAGTCCTATATTGTTTCTATTGTTTTGTTGGGTTGGGTTTTATTCTTTTGTTTTGCTTGATTAGGTCAAATCCAGTGGCAGGAGCAGCTATTTCAAAGCTAACAAGAAATATTATGGTAGCAATTTTGGATTTCTTTTGCAGTCCTTTATTGCATTCATCATCTTGTTTTTACTGTTTCTATTCTGTTCTGTTTGATTTTTACTATGTCTGAAGTTATCTGCAGCTATTTTGAAGACATCAAAGGCATTATGGTAACTATTGTTGATTTTGTAATGTTTTTAGGTTTGTTTTGATTGATTTTATTCTGTTTTGCCCTCTTTAAAATAAATTTTTTAAAAAAGAATCCACTGTTCAAAGTAACTTGACTTTCCTCCATTTTAAAAAATTAAATTGGCTGCCCTAGAAATTACCTATCATTTGTCTTAAACTGGATGACGTGTAAGTGTGTAGACTGTTGAGCTTACGACCTAAACTCAGGCATCCATGACCCACTGCTCACTTGTGCGGTTCCTGACAGCCACTTTCTATTCTATGACTCACGGAGCACACAGCAACACATCTGAAACAGATGTCATCTATTGGTGTGGCAATTTGATGGGGCTTCCAAAAGCTTTTTTTTTTCCCTCTTGATTCACAGACTATGTTCTGGGACAATTTGCTCATGGACGAATTTGCATGTTCTGGTATTCAGTGTGTCTTTTAAGAGTAAAAGCAAGTCTTATGAAATGTAGGTATGGCAGATGAAAACAAGTGTCAATAAGTACAGTTACGTATCCACAGGTAAAATATTAATTTCCTCAGATTTTACACTGAAATCAATAGTAAGATAAAGCTTAAAAACTTATGTCATGAGAAGAGTAAAGATAAGATTATAGACAATAAATGAAATTCTTAGTGTGAGAATATTAACATTGTATGTGATGGTACTGTACAAATGTTGAGTTTCATTAAATTTGTCTTCATAGGGTATTGATCACCCAGTTGCACAGCCAGGTAACTATGGGTTAGGGTGGCAACAGAACTCCTGATACGGACAGGGTGAGAAGATGCAAAGATTCATGACATTACTCTAAAAGGTCAGAGGTACGCTCTGAATAAGGGCCAAGTCAGTTAACTAAAACTTCAAAATTAATGCCAGAGAGATCACTTTGATTGCAGTTGTATAACCAATAGGCTCTAGAATGACTCTTTTGTTCTTTGTTTTCCTTATTGGTAAAATGATGTTGACATGGAAAAGCAGATTCCCAAGGTTCTATCTAATCTTAAATCCCTGCGATGCAGATACAAATTCTCCAAGTACCTGTAATGAGAAAATCAGTGGAACTCAAAGCCCTGAGATTCAAACAGATGAGATTCCTTAGGGGAATGACAGAAGGAATGCTGTTTTCCTTTGAACCCTAAATTCTGGATCCCTTTTAGATCTGACTTGCAAATAGAACTTCTAAACCAATGATGGTCTGCTGGGGTCTCCCTAAACTTCTTCACAATCTCGCAGAAAAGCCCAAATGAAAAAGGCACCTTTCTGTCTATGGCCTCTATACTTTTCCAGTATTCATCAAGGTTTTTTTTTTTTTTTCTTTAAATGTGGTGGCATATTGCTGTGGTTAAAATAGAAGTGCTTTTGTTAGCTGGGCAGGCCTGTAATCCCCACCACTCTGGGAGGCTGAGGCAGGAGCACTGTCTCATATGATTCCATACATCATGAGGTTCAAGCCCAGCCTGGGAAATTTAACAACCTTAGAAAAGATCCTGTGTCAAAATAAAAATGAAATAGGCCTAAGGATGTAGCTCACAGCAAAGGCCCTAGGTTCAATCCCCATGAAAAAAATTGCTGTGCTATAGTGGTGTGCTGTAGTTATGAACAAGAAAACTCTAGCCTCAGAAAATCTATATTGTGGTAATCTGAAAAGTTCAAAGCAGTTTTTATGACATGTAAAAACTGCTGTCTGGATGATGATTTATTGTTAAGGAAGTCACGCACAATTCATCCATTTTCATTCCTTAAGCCTTAATAATTTCAGGTTGAAGGAAATGGAGCTCTAGATGAGATACGTATTTAAATCACAGTGTATCCTTATCACTCCAAAGAGAAATTGACTTGCTCTGGTCTTAATCTATGAAATATTGTACAGTGATTCAACAGGGTGAGTCTGAAGTCAGACTGCCTGGGTTTGAGTTTTGTCTTCATCCGTCACTGTGTAATGAGTTGCTCTCACTGGTCCTCAGATTCCTCCTTTATCAAACAACAATTAAATGAACCCATATCTCCTAAAGTTGTTGTAGTAACAAAATGAGATACTACACTTCATGAGCTGAGAATAAGAGTTAGTTCTCTGGGCTAATGGGACATCTCATATTGGGAAAACAAAGTCTCTTTAAAGACGAGCTGGTTTGAAGTAATATAAAATTTTAAACCTTCAGCATGTACCTATAACCAAAGTTATCTTGTGAAAGAAACCTGTTTTAAGGTCTGTTACACCATACTGAAGAGGATATTTCTATTTCCTATTTTCACTCTGCCATGTTTCTGTTACCAGCTATTATTTCATTGACTTGCCAAAACTTGTTCTTAATTTCTTCAGGATTAAAATATCACACAAAATACTAAAGTTTTGTTGCATTGTGTTAGCTGCCAAATGAATACAACAGAACAACAGTACATCAAATAACAGTGGGGCTATGATCTGAACATACATTTCTAGGCAATTTCATCCTTGCAGGAACATCACAGAATGTGTGTAAACACACTTGGATGATGGACGTCAGTCACCTAGTATGGCCTTGTGAGGCAGTCAAGTCACCAAATACACAAGAGAGGGATGAGGCTGCTGCTGGCTTAACATGACAGGTTATTTTACAGTCAATTTTTTATAGCTAGAAGAAATATACTCTAATATAATAATAAAATAAATATAGTACATGAGCCAGTAATATCAGTCATTTGTTCTCAAGTACTATGTAGTGTATATAATTACACGTGCTATCCTGGCAGTGCAGTAGGTTTGCCTGTATGAACATCACCAAAAACGTATGATGGGGGAGATAAGTGGCCCTACAACTTTACAAAGGCTACGATGTCACCAGGGATAGGAATGTTTCAGCTCCACTAGAATCTTAGGGGACCACTGTTACACATGACCTGTCAATGACTGAAATGTCACTGTATCCACAACATGACGTACCAGGAGCAGCTACAACAGCAGCACCAGCAGAAGCAGCAGGTGTTGTTGGGCCTCTGGTTTCCAGGAGCTTGGGACACAGCGGGTGTTCCTTCATTTTGTGATTGCTGTCTTTTTCGCATTTCAGCTACTTCAGGACCCAAATGCCTGAAAGAAGAGAGACAACCACAGAATGTGACAAAACTGCCCTAAGGAGGGGCCGCCTGTGCTGACGGATGCACAATCTGAAGAAAAGAAAAGTGAAAACAGTATGCTTTAGCAGTCAAAGTTTCTCAGAGGGGGAAAAAAACATGGAGAGCATATTCTAAAAACTTTGGGGATAAATTCTACTATTAGCTGCTATATAAACTTATATAGCAGTGTTGCCACAAAATGAAAACCATTGGTCACAATAAATGCAGTAAGTCTGAAAATTTGTTTTTAACTTTCTTCTTTACTCAAGAATGATTAAATATGATTTTCTTTATAAGCACCTTTAATGATTATGGGGTGCACTTGATTAGCTTCTCTTCTGATGCTTATAGTGAGGCAAATTAAGCTTTATAAATCATTGCTGCAAAGCTTCTAACTATATTAATGTAGTATTGAAGGTCGAATTTGTGTTTGGTGCCCTCTTTCCTCTTTTTAAAACACTTGATCTCCTTTTTGGCACCTTTGACTCGTTAGAGACCTAACCTTGAAGACACTGATAATGGACCTTACTTTTGGTTAGATGTCCATTTTCAAAAGACATCACCTTTCTTTTTCCATCCTCTAAAATTTATTTTTATTTGAAAGAGAATTGGGGGAAGACAAAAGCCATCAGATTGGAGGCAATTACTTTGGCAGGATTTATGTACCACAGCAGATAAAAAAATTGAGATACAATACTGTATCTATCACTTTACCAGTCAGGGTAAAGGAGCTGCACCTAGAGAATCAGTCCTATTTTTGGACTAAACTATGGCTAGAAAGGGTTATTTTAACATAATGTTGTCACATTTAGTATGAACTTTTAGAAATAGGGATAAACTGTATTTAATTATGCTTTTGGTAAATATGCTATATAAATAACGCATACACATACATTGTCATATGTATGACTTAGAGCAATAATAAACCATAATGTGCTTTAAGTCATTTTGCAATTGTGAGCTCATTTTTAAAAATTATATTTTCAGCTCTAAATACAATGATATTTTTAAAAAACAGTATATTCCAGAAAAATACACATTTCTTTGGACCAGAAACTAAACAGAAAACATCAGTGGTAGGCAAATAGGGGCTAAATCCCCAGTCACTTTTATGATTCAGGTACAGAAACAGAAAGAGGCAAAGGCCTACTCCAGGGGGATGTAAACTGCTCCATCCTGAGAAGTGGGGGACCAGATTCCAAGTTACTTGCATGGAATCAGGAGTTGTGGTTGTGCCACTCACAAAGTTATCAAAGAAACCTTTTCTAACCATTCAATTACCCAACTACTGAAGAATGAAGATGTAGAGAACCCCATCTAGATAAGACCTATACCAAGGTGCCCATTGTGGATGTCTCCAAAACCATTTGTGGATGGAAGGAATTCTGAGATACAAATGAAAGATCTGGTTCAGGACTGAGGGTCTTGAGGGACTAGTGGAGACAAATGAAAAAGATTAGATTAGGAAGGGCAAGTGAGAACGACAACTACACATCAGAAAGTAAAAAGCCTGAAATAGAAAGGCAATTTAATAATATTTTGGCCTTCACCTCTTCCCAACTGAGTAATTTGAGCTCAAGTATTCCTCTCAGTCAAATGCAAATCACAGAATCACCTACAATTATCTTAATAGCATAAATTTAAGTTAAGCAATGTAGTAAAGGAAAAATGTCACTCATATTGGAAAATAAGAGATTGTAAAACAAGAATAAGCAAACATGAAATAAGAACAGCTACAACAAACAACTGAAATGGAAAACACATAACCATTAAAGATTCAGATGGAATAATCTCCTCCCAAAGCAACCCCAAAGAGAGAAAAGTGATGGTACCAAGACTATATCCAGAATGCAGTACAGACGGACACATGCAGCATGAGAGAACTGAAACAAGTATATCAGGAGTACTGAAAGGCTCCAACAGGCAACCAACATGATTTTTATAATAAGGAGAGAATTAACAGATTTTCAGGGAAGTGGTATTTTAAGGGAGACTCGCTAAAAACTCACAACTGAAAGAAAACAAAACAAGCACTCACACAGAAAGAACATACCACATGCTGAACAGGATAAATAAGATAAAAATAAATCCAAACACACAAAGATTATAGTAAAATCACAGATCTACAAGATTTAAAAAAACGGAATTAGTCTCAAAGAAGTAATATTTTAACTGACAGAAAACAGTCATGAGCAGCATTCAACGACAGTGACAGTGGGCCATACTCAGAATTTAATATTGGAGATTATTTTTGATAAATTAGTTGAATTATTGAAGTTTTGTTGGATTCTAGTCAGAAGACAAAATTGGTGGGAAGGTGTCAGACTATATTAACAAGCACTGAATTTGGTTTTAAAATATGACACTGAAACTAATGACTGGGTAAAACAAAATGATGTTTCCTTATTTGGAAACAATCAGGAACTGATTGTTTAAGTTGATATACATTAGAAAATGTAAGGGCTATCCCACTCCTCCACTGAAAGTGATTTTATAGATATCACACTGTCTCTGTGTTTTTATATTAAAGAGTCATGTTGTCATCTTCTACTGGGCTGCTATTGTTGGAATATGGTTTTTCCTCACCAAAAGTCATACTGAAACTTAATTCTGTGGTGTCATGATGGGGGCCCATAAAAAGAGCTCTACCCTTGTGACAGTGTTAATATAGTTCCAATGAGGGTTGGCAAGCTATCATGAGAATGGGTTGCTACAAAGCCAAAGTTCCCCTTATGTTTCCTCTTTCATCAATGCCTGCTTGCCACCATTTTCTAAGCTAAATTGAAGCAACATGTGGCCCTCACCAGAAGCCTGCAAGATCATGAACTTTCCAGGATCCAGAACTATGAGCCAAACTAAAATTCTTTTCTTTGTAAATTACCAAAAATTACACATTCTGTTATAGCAACAGAAAACAAAGTACAACATGGCCTTAAGTGCAACATTGCAATGGACTGACGGTGTCTCTCCAGGCCTGGTCTCATACTTCTGGCCTCTAGAACCTTGAGAGACAAATTTCTGTTGCTCTTAAACTATTCATTCTATGGTTTTTTATTATGGTAGCCCAAATTGAGTGACAGAAACACAAGGACAACTCCATTCTCTCTGAAATACACTCTCTTCTCTTGCCTTCTTGGGTCCCACTCTTACCTGCTCACCTTTGATACAAGGGCACAATAACTGAACAGCAAACTTGTAGATATTTTCTAGCAAAGTGAAAAATCAGTTAGTGGTCTCTGACTATGCTTCTGCTGCTTGTCACATAGTTAACCCGCTAAATTCAGTCAGCCTGGACTGTTCGGATCTCACTGCTTCTCTTTGATGGTGTGTTGGGTCAATTTGACTGAGTCCAGCTTGTGTTTTTTCTAAGTTAGAAGAATATATATTGTTTCCAACTTGCTTCAAGGACTTTACATTTGGGACAGACTAGCCCAGTCAAGAACCATTTTAACTCTTCTTGTTCTGCTGAAGCCCTCTTGTCACCTCCAGGATGTTCCTATATTATGGTAAATAATTTCTTTTAAGTAAATCTATTTAGAACTAGCTTGCCTGACAATATGTGACTTAATTCACGTAACCAATCATGTAATAACCTGCCATCAGATTTGAACTTCCTGCTTGCAAAATGTATTTAAACTGCATTTTTAGGTGCACCATGGCTGGTGATTTGGAACTGATTCCCATCAGCCTGCCAGTGTTAGATCATAAAATTTTATCTTCTAGATTCCTTGGTGCAAAGAGTCTTCCATTTGGTTTAACATTGGTTTTTCTATAAAAATTTCACTGTTTACTTTTTTCTCTTTCATGCCCCTCCCCCCACTTTTTTTTGTCTTTTTGAGACAGGGTCTCATTATGCAGTTTAGGCTGGCCTTGGGCTCACTTTGTAGCCCATGTTGAGCTTGAACTTGCAACAATCCTCCTGCCCCAACTTCCCGAGTGCTCAGATTACAGGACTGTGCCACCACATCCAGCTTGTGGTTCCCTTTTCATCTCCCTCACTTTTAAAGTTTGTAGGAGCATAGTAATCTATGCCATGAACTCATTTCTTTGATGAAATTATACTTTTTTAGTGTATCTTCCAGCTTTCTATATAAAATTATCAAATTTACATGACCAGTTAGATTTTCTTGAATTCAGGACTACCTATCTGAAATCCGACTACCTATCTGATAATCTAACTACCTACATGACAACTCCACTTGGCTTTCTGAAACTTAACATATCCTAATCTGACTCGTTTCTTCCAAAACTTTTTTCTCCTTAATTAACAACTCTCTTAATTTTAGTGAATAAAAAGGCTCACCCTTCTCTGTATTCAGATGAAAGACTTTGGACTCATCTTTGAGTCCTCTATTTCATCTGCATCCCATGTCAGCAGATCAGCAGGTGAGGCCTCTGCAGTCCTTCAGTTTCTACCACTTCCCATCGGTTATGGCTTGTGTCTGGATGTTCCCCCAAAGCCTCATTCAATCACAGAGTAGGCTCCTGGAATTTGTCACTGAATTATGGTTCAATGCTGGAATTATGGATGTGAATGCTACACCCACCCTAGAGGGTGTGTGACCTACACAAAATATAAGGGAAAAAAAGGTCTTCTCTCTGTGCTCCTCCTCTTTTGCTCTTGTTGCTTTTGTAGTCTTCTGCCACCATGAAAGGTTGCCCTGTGCCATGCCACCTGTTTTGGAACCAGCTGATTATGGACTGATTATCTCCACAAACTGTGAGTTTATAAACCTTTCCCTCTTTAATTTGGGGTGTTGGGTATTTGGGCTCAGCAACATGAGAAAAGTAACCAACATACCATGTCTTGTCACTTCTATTCCATTCCATTCTGTTCACAACACAGTGACGAGGGTGTTCCTTTTCAAACATAATTTGGAGAATTTCAACAAATAATATTCCACTTAAATTTGCTCAGAAACTCTCAGAGACTTCTTATCTTATTCAGCATAAAAGCCAAAGTTTCTGCAATGC